CTTGTGCTACCTCACGAGTGGGCGAGAGATTATGTAGATTTACTCGGTCATAAGACTCAAATTATGTTTGAGGATATGAACTCTTCTGTTATGCAGAGGTAGGCAGTTTAACTGGTATTTTCATCGGTTTATCACCTTGTGTTTTTCAGGCCTTATCGCCGCTATATTCAGCGCATTGAGGAGATGGAGCGTATGGTTCGTTTCCTGAGCAAGGAGGTTGAGAACATGCCAAATGTCGAGGTCAGCAAGAACCGTATCGATGACTTCTTGGACCACGACGATGAGTTCACCCTTGATTCGCTCGAGGCCGAGGTCAAGAGAGTCTATGAGAGGTTCTGTCGTTTCCACAGTAACAATGAGGAGATGACCGATGAGCTTGAGGCCGCTGTTGAAGAGTTGAATGTTGTTAAGGACAGCATTTCAACTGGTTTCCTCGCTGCAGGAGAGGGTCTGAGTCAACCTCTCCTTGAGGGCGAGCCCACTGGCCAAGGTTCTCGCCGTAGAGAAGATCACATGCAGTTCTCTAACATTGCTGGTGTTGTGAAGATGGAGGATCAGGAGAGCTTTGCCAGAACTGTGTTCCGTGCTACTCGTGGTAACACCTTCACTCAGTTCGTGGAGATCCCTGATACTCGCAAGAGTGTCTTCGTCATCTACTTCCAGAGCACTACTGCGGCTTCGGCTATGTCGGCTAAGGTTCACCGTATTTGCAGTGCTGTCGGTGTCCACATCTATCAGTGGCCTTCATGTAAGGATGAGGCTATGCAGAGGATCGCTGATCTCGAGACTGTCATTGCTGATAAGCGTCGTGCTCTTGCTGGTTTCTCCAAGTACACCCTTGACGAGGCACGCAGTCTGTTGGAGCCTATCCGTATGGGAGGCAACTCTCGTATTGAGGAGTGGAGGTTATTCTGCATCGAGGAAAGGAGTATCTATGCTACTCTCAACCTCTTCGAGGGGTCTGTCTCGATGAGATGTGATTGCTGGTATCCGACCAAGGATAAGGATTCTATTCGTGAAGTGCTTGCGAGCTCCGGTTCGGCTGCATCTGCTATGCTTATTGATGATGAACATGATCCTAAGACGGCAGCTCCTACCTATACGAG